TATAGAAAGTTAGAGGACTGAAAATAAAGGCCAGATTGGAAAAATGCCATCTGAATTTTATTGATAGTGTACCTATAATTAGAATCAGGCAAAAAACAGTTGACCAAAACATTTTTTTAAATACAGATTTTATTAATGCAAAACATTTTGCACATTTGTCAATTTCAGCCAATCATTTTGTTGGAACAACAACAACAACAAAAACCACCCCAGAAATGTCAAAATGAACCCTCTAAACTTTTTTAAAACTTATTTCATATATTTAGGCTAGCATCACATAGCACAACAGTAACAGCAGCAGACAGCCTTATAATCTTTAGCCAAGTGGTTATGACATTCACCTCTAGGATGTAGAAGACCAAGGCTCAAATCCCCACTCTGGAGCAGGGATTGGACACCAGCTGGCTCCCTTCACAGATGTCCCAGTGTCACTACCCCCAAGCTATTGGGAACTCTGAGGTCAGACTCTCCATCTCTCTTGTCTAAGCAGTTCCACTTTGTACAAATACTTAAATATTCAATGGTACAAGAACTGGAGTATGGGTGACCTCACCCCACAGAAGACTGCTCTAACTATAGGGATGTAGAGGAATTCTGTCTGACTAGCTCAGTGACTAGTTAAGTATTATCACAAGATTTCCTAAATGCTAGAATAATCTTAGATTTGTTTAAGTAAGTTTCTTGCCCTCTTGGTGGGTAGCAGAGTTTAAAATTCAAAGTGAGTGTACTATTAATAAACTAGAAGGCAAAATTTTTATTTATGATTTTTAAGCTCTCAAATCTTTTGGTCCTGACTCATGAGTTTTGAGTGACTGGGGCTGGCAATATTGGTTAAGAACACCACAACAGACAAACCTAATGCCCGGTGTCGGAGCCTGAGTCTCCGGGCTTGGGCAGCTGGGGGTGCCAACTTCAGATCTTAAGTTATCTATCTCATACAAAACAATTTACCACAATTCTGGATTTTCTTCTTGTACGTGTCAAATCCCTCTTTGAATCTAGTTACATTCTTCCCCTAAACAAAATCCCACAATACCATGGCATTCACTGCTATGTGAAAAAGCCCATTATCAAGAACAATTAAAAGAAGGCTATGACATAGGGAGAACAAAAGCTTCCCCAACCACCTTCTCTACACAATTCACTATTTTGTACATGTTTATATCACTTCCATTCTCAACTCTCTCTCCTCTAATTTGTACACAATCCCAATCTTTCCAATCTCTCTTCATTGGAAAGTCTTTCCCATGCCACTAGTGATTCTCATTTTATGTTCCTGACACCCCTCTCATTCTTCAGTATCCTTTCAGAAATGGCTTGATCCATACGGAACACAGTACGCCATGGGAGGGCAAACACTTCTTTATGTAATATTTGTATTTTATTCTCCACTCTGTTGCTTATTCATCTTAAGATTGTTTTCTTATTGTGATCACAGCTCCACAATGATGAGCCCATAATTCCTTTTCCAAGTTGATGGAAGTTATTTAGAATTCTGGAAGGTATATGAGCAAATCAACTTTCCCCCCTCCAGTATGCATAACTTTCCTGAGTTTAATCTGCTGAAGTGTTGTCCATTAACCTACCTTGATTAGGTCTTTCTACACCTCCTCAATCAGCTCTAGATTTGATTAATTTACATTATCTTAGCCTCTGATTGGGACAAAAGAAAGGCCCAGAATTTACCAGCAGAAGAGAAGTTTCACTAATTATAGATACAATGGAAACCCCAGAATTCATGTACTGGAGGTGTCCAGAAAAACAAAAACACACCACAATCACAAGAAAAATAGAAATGCAACAGAAGTGATTATGCACCAGCATTATAATAAAACCTGCACTACCTATCAGACTTTCCCCAGACCTGATAAATAGGAAAAATCCAAGTTTAACATGCAATTGTAGACAAATACAAAATTAACCTTTCCTCACATACCATAGTAGGAAGTTATTTCAAGTGTTCTAACCACTTGGTGGTATATTAGAATATTGTGATGGTCTCTAAGAAACATTCCTTTGACTGGAAACCAGATGTTATTCCCCCATCAAATCAACCAACTATGTAGCAATAGCTAGTTCTGCAGTGGTTGTTTTTTCTACCTGATATGTTGCATGTAAGAGATACTTTGTGATTAGACAAGGGTTTAAGGTCATGGTGAATCCATTATACCTTATTAAAGCTTCTCAGTGTTGTATTTCCGTCTCATTTGTCCACCTTTCCGTTTGGAGTTTCGTTGAAGAGGAGGTGAATAAACAGCCTCCAATTTTTTTTTAAATTCTCTGTTCTCAAAGATCTGAAGTTTCAGTTCACTGGAGATGGATGGCCCCCTCCCCGCACGTACCCCAGCCGCAGCTCCTTCACCTTGGACCGCACCTGCTCACAGTTGCGGCTGGGGTGTCCTTGCTGGGCCAGGTTCCGTGCCAGATGGGTGTAGACATCGGCGTTCCGGAGGTGGGACTGCAGGTCATGGAGACCCTCCTCCTCCTCCTCCCACAAGTCCAGGAGGGTCTCCAGCTCCCTGGGGGTCCAGGATGGGGCCCTGCGTTTGCGGCCCCTGGGGGCTTCCTCCCCTGCCCCGGGTGACGGTGGCTGACGACCACCTGGAGCTGCCATGCCTGCGCTGAGGTGGCTGGGCAGCACAGTTGGCACGTGGCAGAGCTGGGAAGGGTGGTCTCCTGTGGGCTCCTGCCACGTGCGGCCAGTAGCGTCCGCGCTCTTTAAGACCTCGGCTTACCTGGAAGTCCATGGCTTCTACGGGGCCTCCCGCCGTCCAAACTGCTTTTTTCCGTTTCTTCTGCTTTTCTGGAAAAGCTGTCTATACTGGCCCTTTTCCGGAAAAGCTTTTCCGGAAAAAGGACTTTTGCCCGAGCGGGAGCAGCGTAGCATTTCCGGAAAAGCGGTAGGTTTTGTACAGTACAGCATCGATGCTTTTCCGGAAATTCAAGCGGCCAGTGTAGACAGCTTGCAGCTTATTCCGGAAAAGCGACTGCTTTTCCGGAATAAGTGGCCCAGTGTAGACACACCCTAAGGCTACGTCTACACTGGCCCCTTTTCCGGAAGGGGCATGTTAATTTCAACTATCGTAGTAGGGAAATCCGCGGGGGATTTAAATATCCCCCGCGGCATTTAAATAAAAATGTCCGCCGCTTTTTTCCGGCTTTTAGAAAAGCCGGAAAAGAGCGTCTACACTGGCCCCGATCCTCCGGAGAAAGCGCCCTTTTCCGGAGGCTCTTATTCCTACTTCAAAGTGTTTTCAATCACTCTTATGAATTGTAAAATTCAGGGACATTTTACTCTACAATGTGTAATCAAAATATGTCTATTTTCCTTTTATTAATTGTTGTTTAAATGATCTTCCAATATCAACCCCTTTGCACTGTCTGTGATAGAGAAGTTCTGGACCAACATAGGAGACAGTTTCATTAGCTTCATGAGAATGCTTTTTCTGTGGCCATATCAGAACTTTCCTTAGGATTTCCTTAGGGCCCTACCCAGTACTTATTACACAGGTGCCCTATGCCTAACAGCAGCCTAGATTGGAGAAATCATGATTTTTTTGGAGATCTGATTATAAGATTTTCAGCAACACACTAATGAAACATTTTTAAATCAAGTTTTAAACTAAGGTCCTGCAGCTCAATACAGGAAATTCAGAAACTGACAATATGTACCTGGTGTTGGCAAATGCCTCTTAAATGGCTTCATTACTATTTGGATGGCTCTTTTGTAGATTCAGTGTTCTGCTAATAGGTCTTTTTACTTTTATTATTATATAATAGGACTTTTTCACTTTTAATTCACTAGTTCCTCTCCAGAGCAAGCAGAGGCATAGAACAGGGATAGCAAGAGGCAGGTGGATAGGCATTAAAACCCAGTGGTACCCCATATTTTCAGGTATCCTATGCAGCTGCATACTCAGTATATGGGTAAGGAAGGACGTGGGTCAGACTGTTAGTCATCCAAGAAGAGACTATATGCTCAAACTCATGTCAGTTATTCAATCCAGTTGCTAACATAAATGCAAGGGCTTTCATAATTTCAATCTTTGACCCACTGTGAAAAAATGAGCATGCGATAGAGAATGTCAGAAGGGCCTGGAATAAAAGGCTATTAATTTATTTCTGTATGGCTGGGTCTAGACTGGCCACTTTTTCCGGAAAAGCAGCTGCTTTTCCTGAAAAACTTGTCAGCTGTCTACACTGGCCGCTTGAATTTCTGCAAAAGCACTGACGATCTCATGTAAGATTGTCACTGCTTTTGCAGAAATACTATGCTGCTCCTGTTCGGGCAAAAGTCTTTTTCCGAAAAACTTTTGCACAAAAGGGCCAGTGTAGACAGCAGAGATTTATTTTCCACAAAAAAGCCTCAATTGCGAAAATGGCAATTGGGGCTTTTTTGCGGAAAAGCGCGTCTAGATTGGCCATGGACGCTTTTCCGCAAAAAGTGCTTTTGTGGAAAAGCGTCCTGCCAATCTAGACGCGCTTTTCTGAAAATGCTTTCAACGGTAAACTTTTCCGTTAAAAGCATTTCCGTGTAGACGTAGCCATATATGTGTCTATAATTCAGTTTGAAGTAAAAAAGTTGAACCTTTCAGATTCCTGGAACAAAGACAATAAATGCAGCAGCCCAAAAGAGAAAAAAAATGCTTTAAATACTTTATATCTTCTTTAGAGCTTACTGTTGCATTCATATCAAGGAAACAGTTAAAAGAGATCAATAATAAAAGCTTATGATAACAATTCCTGGTAAATGTAACACTAATTCATGTATCTTATTGCTTATAGTCTTCCAAAATGAATAAATAAGCTTCCTTGTCAAGGCCCTAATCACAAGTGATTCTCAACATTACAGCACAAATAATATTCTAATTTTCTATAAAATGTCTAATAGCCTAAGGAGGTACTGTAGCAGGAAAAAACATTGATAGTTTACAATAAGGTTCCTCCTACACAGCCTACTAAGAACAGCAGCCATGTATGAAATCATTAGTCATACTAACCTGTGGTGTCATTCCATGGCAGATATACATTATTGGAATATTTTCTGTGTCTGGCCCCTGATCAAGGCACAAATCACTTTTTAGGGAATTCTGCAGCTAGAATAGACAAAGAGAAAAAAACCAAATATTTTATTAAAGTAGAGAACAAGAACTATATTCAACCATTTCCATTTCTTTGCAAGAAAATCACACTTATCTGAGAGAAGAAACATTCATATTAAAAGACACGTGTCTGTGTTTAAGAATACATTTGAAGGGAAATCATCCAAATCAAATTCTTCCCTGACTTAAACATAGCAGTACCATATTAAGTTCAATAGCAATATAAATGGCATAAGCCAGGGCAGAACTTTCAAAAGACACTCACAGGTGTAACCAGGTTTTGTTACACTTATGTACCATTTTAGCACCTACTTAAGGACAGATTTTCAAAAGCGGTCAGTATCAAACAACTCCTGCTGCCTGTCTCAAAGTCTATGGAAACTGAGCCTTTAGGGAAATACCAGCCTCTATGTTTTCCATTTAGGCTACATCTAGACAGCAGAGCTATTTGGGGATACCAGAAGTATACCAAAATAGCAATTCCACATCTTTAAATGCACCTGTTATTTCAAAATACATTTTGAAATAACAGGCACGCTATTCTGGCATCCCTGAACCCCTTGTTCCATGAGGGTTAACAGACTTGTCAGAATAGTACTTTATTTTGAAATTTGACAAACAGAAACAGCATTCCACTGCTGCTATTTTGAAATAGCCTCTTACCAGGGCCATTCTAAGTTATTCCTCCCCAGTGCCTCTGCGGCTCTAAATCAAGATAGCACATCTACATTAGGGAAGCCTGCCTCAGACTCATTTTGAGGCTTCCCTGCAATGCAGACATGCTATTTCGAAAAAAGCTATTTTGGAATAACTATTCCGGAATAGCTTATTGCAAAATAGTCGTGTAGTGTAGACGTACCCATTGGGTATGTCTAGACTGCATCCCTCTGTCAGCAGAGGGATGCAGATTAGGCAGGTTGATGTTGTAAACGAAGCAGGGATTTATATACCCCGTGCTTAATTCGCATAAAAATGGCCACCATTTTTGCGAACTCAGCACTTTGTCAGCAAAAAGCGGGAGTCTATAGGGGGATCTGTCGAGAAAAAAAGCCTCTTGCAAGGAGGTTTACAGAATCTGTCAAAAAGGCTTTCTTTCTTGACAGATTCCCCTCAAGACTGCCGCTTTTTGCTGACAAAGTGCTGAGTCGGCAAAAACAGCGGCCATTTTTATGCAAATTAAGCATGGGATATTTAAATCCCCGCTTCATTTGCAATGTTGAACTGCCTAATCTGCATTCCTCTGCCGTCAGAGGGTTGCAGTCTAGACATACCCTGAGAGCCCGATGGTGACCTACGTCTACACGGCAGAATTATGAAAGTCACTCTGACTGGTGATTTGAATGAGATGCCGTATAACACAGCAGCTTAATGGTAGGTCAAGAATGTGAATTGAAAGGTGGGCATGTCGGTGAGATCCCTTTAATAGTATAAGGCTCCGGACAGGAAGCAGAGTAAATGGTGACAGCACCATGGCATCAAGTCATAGTATTGTTTTCCGCAAAAAAGCCCCGATCGCGAAAATGGCCATCGGGGCTTTTTTGCAGAAAACCGCGTCTAGATTGGTCACGGACGCTTTTCTGCAAAAAGTGCTTTTGCGGAAAAGCGTCCATGCCAATCTAGACGCTGTGTTCCAAAAATGCTTTTAACGGAAAACTTTTCCGTTAAAAGCATTTCCGGAAAATCATGCCAGTCTAGACGTAGCCTTAGAGTCCAATCTTACCATCAATCAACACATGGAATTCCCAGTAAAGTCTCAGATATTTCTGTGTGCAGAGTGCTTCTAGTATCAGAGGGTATATCTACACTACCCCGCTAGTGCGAACTAGCGGGGTAATGTATGCATACCGAATGTGAAAATGAAGCCCGGGATTTGAATTTCCAGGGCTTTATTTGCATAAGCAGGCCGGCGCCATTTTTAAATGCCGGCTTGTTCCAACCCCGGGCCGCGCGACTACACGCGGCACAGGCTAGATAGTTCGGACTAGCAAGCCATTCCGAACTATCTGTACACCTCGTGGAACTAGCGGGGTAGTGTAGACATACCCAGACTGACTGGGAATGCATTACAGATGTCAGTGGAAGATATAGCATAAAGAGATACTGACAGCAAGGAATTTTTCTTATGTCTCAAAGTTACCAAAAGAGCAAAATGGTTTGTAATGTCATCACGACTTTGAAATGACTATGACAACTCATGTAACCTTTCCACGGTGCTGTCATCTTCATATTTCATGTTTAATAGTATTCATGTATGTTTTATGCTGTATTGTCTTGTTTGTAAATTAAATCCTGAACTCCTTACTCAGGTTTCTGAATAGTTGCTTGTTAGGAAAAAAAATTCATTATGTCAATGGGAGTTGAGCACCCTCAAAATCTAAATATAAAATTTATAAATGGATTAAAACTTAAGGCCAGGTATTACTAATGTTGTACCTTCCCCAACAAGCACTCCCTACAGCATGAAAGGGTGTAAACTGGCATAATACCACTGACTCAGAGAATTTTCTAAAACATCTTCTAATCACCTTACCAGGAGATGAACATTACTGAATAGCACCCTGACGACTCACATTTGCAATACCAAAAGCAAGAGAGTATGTTCAGGAGAACAGAACCCACATTGCTACAAGGAATGACAGATTTATTGAACAATTTATCCAAGAGTACACAACTCCATTTCTGAAAGAGCTTTCCCTTCCAATAAAAATGAAAGGCTCTCCAAAGAGTCTCATAAGACATTTACATTCTGAAGGACTTCTGATCACCTTGAACCTCTGGGATGTAGAATGAAATGAGTGAAAAATTTTAGGTCCTATAGAATTATATGAATAATTTATATGCATGGGATTTAAAGGAGCCACATCTTTTAGAAGGAGCACATATCCTATGAAGGTATAAATATTCTATAGACAAACTAGTCATCTAACAGCAATATGGAAAAGCTGTTATTAGATGACATATTTATCCATCATTTAGTATGCTTTATACACACATTCTGTGGAGTAATTTTATGTACCTATAGCCTCTCATCCAAGTTCCTTAATTGTAATTAACTTAATTATTTTTGTTGTTGCTTTTTCTGTTGACACATTGGGACAAATTGGGCACACTGAGCAATGCTAGAGAGATGCAGAATAAACCCCACAACAGGGACAGCTCAGGGGACATTATTATTAATAAAGTTTCAAAAATGCTTAATGTCCCCAATTGAGATGGGAGCCCTATTGTGCAAGGCCTTGCACATGCTCCTAAACACAGCAAGACAGTCAGTATGCTGAACAGTTTACAGAAATACAGCAAGGCTATGTCTACACTGGTGCGATCTTGTGCCAGAGATATGCAAATGAGGCTAAGTGTGGAATATCGCCGAGCCTCATTTGCATACCTAATGAGCCACCATTTTTGCAGAAGAGGTTCTTGTGCTAGAAGGAGCTGTCTACACTGCCCCTTCTTGCGCAAGAAAAACCCTCTTGCGCAATGTCGCTACACTGATTATTTTCAGGAATAATGGCATTGCACAAGAGGGTTTTTCTCATGCAAGAAGGGGCAGTGTAGACAGCTCCTTCTAGCGAAAGAGCCTCGTCTGCAAAAATGGTGGCTCATTAGGTATGCAAATGAGGCTCGGCGATATTCCACACTTAGCCTCATTTGCATATCTAGCCTAAGTGCGTGAGAAAGGAAATATTATCCAAATATTACAGATAGAAAACTGTGGCATAGAGAGATAAGTGACTTCCCCAACGCCATACAGGAAGTCTTTGGCTGACCTGAAAATTGCATTCAGATCCCTGAGGGTATGTCTACACTACGGCGCTAATTCGAACTAGCATGTCCACACTAAGTGGACCCTGAACCGGGCTTAAGGATGGCCGGAAGCAGTGTCGGCAGGGCATCAGAGGAGGACTTAGAGCATGGAGATGCTGTCTCAGGCTACCCGAGGGCTGCGCTTAAAGGGTCCCGACCCCCACCCCAGACAGGCAGTTCTCAGGGGTGCCCCGCTTGCAAAGCAGTCCTGGCTTGGAGGGCCCGGACTACCCACACTGGGCACATCACAGCCCTCGGCCATCAGACCGGCCTCACTTGCCGCAGGCTGCCTTCTGGGGAGAGGGGGCAATTGGGGGGCTGCAGGAGAGCTTCCACCCCCAGAAGCCCGCAGAGCCAGCCCAGTCCTCCCCATTGGGGGCTCGTACCCCATTCCTCCCTCCCCTCCTTCCACTTACCCTTCCCTAGCCCCTTTTCTTGATGTACAAAATAAAGGACAATTGTCTTCAAAAATGGAATCTGTCTTTATTGAACAAAACTGAGGGAGACTGGGAAAAGGAGGGGGGAGAGGGGAAGAGAGAGGATGGGGGAGGGGAGGGCAACTAAAATGATCAGCGGTTGGGAACAGGTCCCATATGAAGAGAGGCTAAAGAGACTGGGACTTTTCAGCTTAGAAAAGAGGAGATGGAGGGGGGACAGGATAGAGGGCTCTAAAAGCAGGAGTTGGGTGGAGCCGGTGCATACAGAAAAGTTCTTCATTAGTTCCCATAAAGAAGGACTAGAGGACACCAAAGAAAGGAATGGGTAGCAGGCTTCAAACTAGTAACAGAAAGTTCTTCTTCACAAAGCAAATAGTCAACCTGTGGAACTCCTTGCTGCAGGAGGCTGTGAAGGCTACAACTGGAACAGAGTTTAAAGGGAAGTGAGATCAAGCCATGGAGGTTGGGTCCATGGAGTACTATTAGCCAGGGGGTAGGAGTGGTGTCCCTGCCCAAGGTTGATGGAAGGCTGGAGAGGGATGGCACGAGACAAATGGCTTGGTCCCTGTCTTCGGTCCATCCCCGCCAGGGTCCCTAGGGTTGGCCGCTGTTGGCAGACAGGTTACTGGGCTAGATGGACCTTTGGTCTGACCCAGGACGGCCATTGTAAGCTCAGGGCTCAGGGTCGGGGGGCTCAGTGGACCCCCTTGATTTTCATGCACACCTGCTCCTGGGTGGCCAGGCTGGCAGCTC